TAATTGAAGACCTTGCCCAAAAAGCTAGTAGGTTCATCCATCCTGTAAATGGTATTTATAATCAACTCCTTAATGTACTTTTTAATAGTTACATATTTAAATCCTTGTTGTTGTGCATTCATTAGTGGACACCGCAACTGCTTATTTTAAGTTTTTTTATCTATTTGAAAATGACCCAAGGGAGGGAGGGGTATTAGTTGTACTTATAATTCGCACTAACCAACTGCTCTCCTGGTGTGAAGATCTTTTATTCGTCATGTACCTCTTTCTTAATTAGTGAATATTAAAAACTTTGTGCTATTAATTAACATTAAAAACATTCCCCGCAGGTATAATTCTTAAGTGTGCTGTATGGAGATCTAATTCTAAACATTATTGCGTAGATATTCCTCGGCTCTCTTATTCTTAACTTCTTGAACTTGAAAACAAATCGTTGCAAAAATTAAAAAAATTAAAAAAGGTAGGTGTAACAACACCTAAAGTAATGTGTTGGGATAAAGAAACCAATCCTTGCGTCAATGATACAAATTATGAACTTGCCGAAAATTCAAGTACGTCACAATATATAAAGTAATTTCAAACATACAGACCGTGCGGTTAGAGTACCAACTTAGCTTTTCCTTTAAATCCAAACCAACTATTTCCTATAAAAGTAACGTACCTGTTTAGAATTTAATCACCTTACAGCACGGTTAACAATTTGAATTGTTGAGGGTTGCTATATATTGTTTACTAGGAACCTTTTATAATCTATTGCTACTATAAAGTATGGTATATATATATATATTTTAATAATTTAACATATGGTGACTCATCTATTTTTTGCTTTCTTCTCTTTCTTTCCTTCTTTCTTCGGTTTTTACTGCGTCTTTAGTGTTTTGTTTTTAAGCGGGCCTAATGGGCAAGCGATATTATGAAGGTCATAGTTTTAGTTTAGAGGGCTAGAACAAAGACTAAACGTTTAGAGGACATTATAGCTGTGGTTATTAAATAGCTTAGTAGTTTAGAGGGCAACTAAGTAATTACGAAGTTAACTAGTTTTACTAAATATGAACATATTTAGTAACTTTATTTAACAGTAACGACTACCCCATACTGACCAATTGTATATAGGTAAATAAAGAATATATCTGACTAATCAACAATATCATTTTTATTACCACTAAAAGTTATCATACATCATTATGCTTTGCATAATACATTTTGGGCATATGTGTCTTCCAGTGTCCACAAAAAAGAGTGGAGCACTTTAAATTTTATCCAGATCATTATGACATGTGAATAGTTGAGGATTAAGCTTTAAAAAGCACGTGGACAAATAGCATTAGGTCCTCTTGTTTAGGCTGTTTGTTAATATAGCCATCATTGGCCATCTTAACATTTGAGCTTAGCTAACAAATAATAAACAAAACCGAATAATAAAGTATCACAAATTCAAGAAGTTTGTGCCAAGCGACTCAAGTCAGCTTTAATCTTGTATAACTATTTATACTGGTGCGTCACTTAGTTTAGGCATAAAAGTTTTGAATGTCGCTCCAGTACTTAGGTAATACGAAATCTATCTATGGTAATCATTAGGTGAATAAAGCTACAGAAGATCGTATTAAAGTTCCTTAACTGCTATGTTAACTTAAACCCAAAAGTTTAAAAATTTTAGTAGAACTTAGAAAGACAGCTAAACCCTTCCCTGTAATTTATCTAGCAATTCCTTTGGAAGAGGTGTATTAAGTTAAAGATGAATATATAGTCTAACAATTATGTACTATGATGACTTTATTAAAATGTCTCTCATGACGATTGGAAGTTAGAGAAAATTAAAGTACGCTCAATTTATACTAAGTTGCTTTTCATTTACGACTTGTCGAAATTTTTATCCATTGCTGTTTATCCCTGCACTAATCCAGTTAAAATCACGAGCACTTAAAAGATTGCCTTTCAAGATTGATTTCCTGGTGGTGATTACGCCTAATTTTATAATTAATCTATGTGAGATATATTATATGACTGTTCTGTTTCTTAAAATATAATAAATATTTATATACAAGTAAAAGCTTTCTAATCTATTGAGGAAAAAAAAATTTTTTATGCCTTTACATCAGATGGGGATCGAACTCCACTCTAGTATAAAAATTTCTTGCAGCTTTTTTTAAATGGAATATAGTGGTTTCTTTCACAAATAAAAGTTCTTTTATCTATTTATTAAAAAAACAAATTTATTTTTAAATTTAACATGTGGTCCTCTTTTATGATAATTAACGAGCCCTTAATAATTTATTTACCTTCAATGACTTAAAGTATTTTACATTCATTTTTCGTTTATTCCAGTAAAGCTTAAACTTCTTACTCTAACATGTCCTTTACTGAATATACTGTAATCGTAAAATGTGTGCGAAAAGGTAGAGAGAAAACAAATTTATAAGTCGCTTCCTAAGAAACGCTTATAAGCCAGAGTACAACGGGCCTCTTATTACATTTAACCAAAAATTTTTGTTTTGGGACTCTCAGATTTCTTTACGAAGAGGCTGGTTCTTTTATTAAAAAAGTATTTTTATTATAACAATGCGAAGATAAAGAATAGAATATAGCGGGTAAAAAATTAGGTGTACTATACACTTAATAGTGTTAGTAGCTGTTCGACCCTAAAATTGTAAGGTTCTTAGCAGATAGTAAGCGCCCGTAATTAAACCTTTTAAAAGCTAAGGATAGATAAATCTGGAAAAAAAAATTGCAAGTAAGAACTTAAATCATAAATGGGCTAAGACACAACTGAATCAAAAGTTGTGCTCTGGCGAAAGATCTTAAAATAAAATAAGAATTTGAAACTGGAAACAGTAGGGAAAAAGGAATTCGAGGAAGAACTAAGAGAAATGCACTTACTACAGAGAAGGTAAGAGAATTAAACTCTTGTTTTAGGAAATAAATCTCAAAGCTCTATTTGAGTAGTTAAAAAGAATATATAATAATGAACACTGAAAATGCATTAATAGCAACTAAAATTAATTTGATCAAAGAAGTTCTAGATCATAGCAGCAGATTTAAAAGACTTCACTGAATTAATAATTTCCTGGTAGCAGATTCTTTGGCTTAATTTTTAATTGAAATCTTTAAGTTGGGTCCTAACAATTATTGGAACGCGAGGCTAACGCTTTATAAAAAAATTTTTTTAATCCAGTGGGTAGTTTATCAGAAACTTATAATCATTCAATTTTTAATCTCTTGTAGGACATATTAAGTTTTATGTTGGCTTGTGTTTTTTATTAGTTCGAGTAGCGCCTTACTTTTTTATACCCTTCGAAGGTTTCTTATTGTTATCTTCCTCATTTTAATTGTTAGCCTCCATTGAAGAGATGACGATCTTATTTATACCCGGCTTATTATACATAAGCAGCATATTAATATTAAACCACCATTAATTTAATAATTATTTCCCCAAAATTGTCATCATTGTAGGCTTGAAAGATTGCAGAAGTAAAAAACAGACAATTAATACGCTTCAACACACTAAGTCGACTTAAAGACTGAAATGAGAATGAGAAGAATGAGGTTTGCACGAGGAGTATGAAACTTTATCTGACTGTCTTAAAAGAAGTTTGCCGGAGCCTACACACGTAGCTTAGTGCAGAGCACGCAATTTTAATCATTTTATATATTATTATTTTGCACAGTAGCTTGCCTTTATGAACCACTTTTAAACATACCTTTTTTTTCACTGCTATTAGCTTTAGGCAAATAAATTGCTTTTTAGAACGTACGCTCTTGACTAATCGACATATTGTGGTTTAAACAATAAACAGAATTGGATATTTTATTTTGCGATCGAAAGTTAAAAGGAACCTCTAATAAAACTATTTATTTATTTAGAAGTACACTCTTTTTGGTATAAAAAGTTTAGAAAAATCATACAAATACTACTCCCACCACCAGCTAATTTGCGTGTGATATAAAGCTTATAGGTGCTTAGGGTAACCTAAAGTAGTAAATTTTTAATTTTGCTTATCGACCTTTTTTGTAGTGGGTAATAGATAAGTGGGTTAAATTTATCAACAAACCGGGTTTATTATAAATATTATAATTCAGCTTGCATAATAAACTTTGTGTTAACGAACAAGTTTTTATTAACTATAAGTAGCTTAGTTTTCAATTAACTTAGTATAGTAAAAAAAAGTAGCAAAGTTCTACTTCTACTTCGTTAAGGGAAGCCTTCGTTTTTCAGTTTACTTAGTGCTATGAGCAAATCAACATCCAAAGAATTTTTAAATGATTCCTCTTCAATAAGTTCTGAAAATCATGAAGAACAACAAAAAGGAAACTCCGCCTCCATGGATGACCCGGTTAGAGTTAACAACTTTTTTATTTTAATAGTTTCCTTTAAATATAATTTATATACTTGATTGTTTTAAGATAAAAAAATTTAATAGATATACTTATAAATTATAAACAAAAAAAAGTAGCTATCATTTTAACTCTCTATTATAAAACAAATATGCAAATTTCTAAATGAAAAGATTTGAAAGTTAGCTCTAATAAGATTTTCGGATAATACTACGGTCGTTATAGACTGTAAAATATATTAGAATTTATTATTTTTTATGGAGAAACTTTTCATAATACTTTGGATCTCATAATTTATGTAGTAAGACGTATTATATTTTTATTATCCTTTATGAAGCAAAAGACAAAAGGGATTTTAGGTTTTACCAAAATACATATATATTTACTTTTATTGAACTATTTATATATAAGTCTGGAACTACCTCAACTTCCGAAGACTACACTTATGAAGAAAGTTCAAGTTCTAAAGAGGTTACCCAAGACTTCTTTACCTTTAGAATATATCCTCCGAAATTATTATTATAAATACTTATGTCCTAATACTTTTGTTTATATATTTCTATTTGGTAAAATAGCTGGAAGAATACTCTGAAGAAGAAAGTAAAGAGGTGACCATAAAAGTTATTTTTTTAAGTGGATACCGTTTATTTTTCAATAATTTAGAAACCAAAGAAAACTGTTCATTTTCAAAAAGAAGTATTTTTCTTAATTCCAATTGAATATTTTTTGATAACTATGCCCACAGCCTGAACTTGTCAACAAATCAACTTCTTCCTCTTCTGAAATTAGTTCTTCAGTCGAGGAAAACGTAATTATAAACATAACATTCTTTAAATTAAAGTAGGTAAAAAGTTGACTTTGTAGATATCTAATAGAATATAGTTTGTCTACCAGTTTAGGTGTATATTAGAGTTAATTTCAACATAAAAGGTAAATTGACTCATATATATATAAATTTCTAGCGGTCAGCGTCATATAAAGAAGCTCATAACAATTTTTATTATAACATTTCAGTATATTTGATAAAGAAAATTTACAAAAGTTTTTAGCTTAAAAATAAAAAATAAATTGCTCACCCCAAAAGTTAACTGTAGTTTTACTATTAAAAAATATTACCCTGTGCAAATTTTAGAGAATTTTGTTAAATTAAAAATTTTATTTAAATAAAAATTACTTGCCGAAATGAAAAAGGAAGCATATTATTTAAAGCGGTACTTTAAAAAAAAGACAATTATTTAAATTATTATTTTTATACTGGACTTGAAAAAAATAAGGTAAATAGTTAAATTAACTAAATAAAGTTAAAATAATTCGCTGCTAACTATAATATAATTAGAAAAAGATTTCTTTTTTACAAAAGGTAGTATATAAGAGAACACTTTCTAAGAAAAATGACACTCCCACTTATTCTATTCTAAAAAAATAAATTCATAATATTTTTACTTTTAAAATAAAATTGTGAAAATAAAAAAAGTACTATGCATAGACAAAGCTAATAACATACGAAAGATGTTTAATTTAAAATAAGTCATAGCTTACTAGATCTTTTTTAAAATATACCTGAATAAACTTATATTAGTTCTTTTAGCTAATTGAAGTTATGATAAATTTCTATTTTTAATAATTAATTAATAAATATATTAAAAAGAATGATAAAAAACTTTTCAAACGAAGTTTTAATTTGTTTTAGTTTTTAAAGAGCTCATACTTATATTATTATAGAAAAAGAATTGTATTTTTTACTTTATTTTAAAAAAAAATACTCTTTTTACCCTACAACTTTATGAAATTTAATTTTTTTTTTTTTTACATTACTTCAAATTTACATAATAATTGACAACAGAGGAGGAAGATTAATTATATTTTCTTCAATATATAATTAAAGACTCAAGAGGAGTTTAAAGAAGAAGTAATAATCAGGTGTCCAGGTGGAGAAGAACTTAACTTTTTGCTCCCTTCCGATATAAAAGGGTTGTATTTTTTTTATTAGTATCACTACTTTTATAAGTTTTATAAAATTTATTATATTACTCCTAGAGACGAACTTATATCCCTGGTAAAGTATAAATATGAGGAACTTTTTGGTCATGTAGAAGATCTATCGATGAATTTATACGCCATTCGTGGCAGTTCACGTAACTTAAAATAAAAATAAATAAGAAAATAATAGTAATAATAAAAATAAAGGAGAGCTTGTCTCAGAAAATGCATTTGCGCTTCGCGGATTCGGTCCTGTCGGTGACGCTTTTTCAAGGTTTATTATAGTAACTACTGAAAAAAATTCAAAAATTATCTCTATATTTTTAATATTCTACCGACTTAATAATTAGCTTAAACTTTTTAAAAAAAAATATATTTTACGTTTTAACTTTTTTGAACTTTAAGGAGAAAAAGTAGCGTTGCTCTGCAGATGCGCTCCCCGAAAGGGTTGTTATTATGATTACTATTATTATTATTATGGTTATGATTATGATTATTATTATGTTGTATTATAATTATATTATTGTAAACTATAGTACCACTGAGAAACTAAAGGAACTAAAAAACACTCAAAAGCAGAGTACAACTAAACTGAATATAATTTGCTGTGTATATTACTTTCTTATTCTAAAAGTTTTTAATATATAAGAAAATATTGTTTTTGAAGTTTCTTTTGAAGAAAATTACCTCGAAGCAACCGTTTATTGTAACTTTTCTTATTACTATTATTATTACAAGCATTTCACGTTAATAAAACTGTTTTCATTTTAGTAAATGAGCAAGTTTGCATCACTATGACTGCCCCCGAGGGTATTTTCGCACGTGATTTGCTTGGTCTCGTGGAAAGTCGCTGGAGAAAAGAGAATATTTCGTCGGGCCAAAGTAACGTTTACAGCGAAATATCGTTGAGCATACTAATAAGATCACCTTTAGAAGGTTTCATTATTACTATTACTATTATTATTATTATTGTTATATTATTATTATTATCAAGCATTTGCACTGCCTTTAATTGGAAAACCGCTTCTTGAAATAAAGAAGTTGAGCGCAAGTGGAAAGTACGAGAAAGACTTGATTGATTTATATATTATTGAAACTAAAGTAATAATACTTTCAATAATAACAATATTAATAATAATGCTTTACAGTTTGTAGAGGAGTACGTAGCAAACTACCGAACTGCAAAGAACAAAGAGGTATTGTGCCTGGCAAAACTTTGATAGTAAACTTTATAATAATAAACTAGTATAACAAAAACCTTCGCCAATAAACATAAGCATAAAAAGTTTAGCTACACTGGCCACGTGCAAAACGCCAATAACAGTGCAGTCTCTGCGTGACTATGTTATTATTATTATTATTATCAAACCAGATTCTTGAGCTGCATAAGAAGACTGTTCGTTCTATTATTAGCGCCAACGAAGACGAAGCGATAGAGGATTTGATGCGCTCCAAGTTTGGCGAAGTTCCCGTTCTTCCCGGTTATACTTTTTAAAGAGAATAATCAAAAAAAGTATATATTTTTTATTAGAAAAGCAACCAAAACTGATGACAATGAGAGAAGTAAAGCAACTAACGTAACTTTTCTATTAAAAGTAATATTAAGAATAGTAATAACAATAATGAAAGAAAGAACTGTTCATCTGAGGTGGACGATTTTTCAAAGAATGAAACCGAGCTTGAAGTAAATTTTGAAGAGCTGGACTTCCTTCGCCCCGATGCCACGGACTTTCTCTTTGGTAATAATAATAATAATAATAATAATAATAATAATAATAATAATAATAATAATAATAATAATAATAATAATAATAATAATAATAATAATAATAATAATAAATAATAATAATAATAAATAATAATAACAATGAATAGTGTATGCGTTGCACGACTATACAAAGAACTTTTTAGCTAAAAGTGCCTCAGAAATGGTTGCTGCCGGTACTCATTTTTATAGTGCTAAATAATCTTCTTGTATTTTTTGTGTTCACTATAATTCAGGTTACACTTCGCCAGAAGACTTTCTTCTTATTTTCTATAACACGTTACAAAAGTGTGCCATGCGGCAGCACAACCGTTTAGGTGTTTTATTAGTGTTGTTAAGAAAGGTTTTCTGTTTTTATCATTTCTTTATTATGTTCTTCTAAAAGGACTTTTATCGAAATCCACTCAAAACTATGAAGAGCTTTCTAAAGCTCGAAAAATGGTCTGTTATTATTATTATTATTATTATTATTATTATTATTATTATTATTATTATTATTATTATTATTATTATTATTATTATTATTATTATTATTATTATTATTGGCAAAGTTAAAAGACGATAAAGGAGAACTGTTCCTAGAATGGTTACGGAAGTTTGTGGCGATCTTTGTTTCTAGTGTGAACTTTTCTTTAACTTTTACGGATGAAGTTCTGCTTTTATTATTATTATTATGAATATTTTAGTAGTGAGTTTTATTTTGAAGCAACTTTTAGGGATTCTGGAAAGTTCTTCCTACTCGAGCTCTAAAGCTACTGAAAAGCACGACCTGAGCAGAAGAAAGAAAGCTCTGGAGGAGCTTAACGAGGCTTATGAGTGTTTTGATTGGAACCACGTCTATCAAGGTCAGTCATCGATTCGCTTTTGGGAAAACTTTACTGCTTTTCTTCTCTATGATTGGCTATTTCTTCACTATCAATTTTGATTCGATACTATACTTTTATTGAATGGCCAGTTTTTTTCCTGTTAGTTTGAGTTACCAATGTGTTTACTAATGCGCAACATTTTCGTCCATTTCTTATCTCTTTATGTTCTCGTTATTTTATTGGCTCAATGTTTATATAACTCTTAACTCCTTTTCATTGGTTATTTTATGATTGGCGTTTTAAAATTTTTATCCACTGATTAATTAATGCAGTTTACTATTTGGCGCTTTTTTTACCCGTTGAAACTTTTTTCTTTATTTTTAATGAATTATATAATTTTTTTAAATCTTCATGTGCATTCTTTAGTTTGCGTTAAAAAATAAACGAAATTCATTTGCCTTGAATTGGACGCACAACAAAAAATTATTACTTTTTTTATTCCTCTCCTTCACTTATCATTATTTTTCCACGTGGCTAAACTTTTATTATTTTATTTAAATTTATATACTTTTATAATATTTTAGTTTTACTATTATAATTATTATTTGTGCTACAGTTTCCTTTACTTTTGATGATATTTTTAGTTTTTTATCTTTATTTTTACACTGTTACATAATTTAGTTTTATTAAAAATCTTTTTTAAAGGATACACAATTTTCTTTCTGTTAAACTTCACCACTTTATAAACTTTTTTATTTTTATCATGAAGATTTACTTTGTGTGTCGTGAAAAACTTTTTTATATTACTTTTTACAAAACTTTCAATATTTTATTTTTATATAAACTTTTCTTCTTCATTTTATTAATTATTTTCATGAAGTATTGATATTATTTCTAATAATAACAATATTTATAGATTTTTTTTTATTTTTACAATATTTTATTATTCATGTTTATAATTTTTCTAGTCTGATTAAACATTTTCCTATAAAAGAGTTCTTTATTTTATACTTTTCATTAACTTTTTTGCATTCACTGCACCTTCAGGGAGAAACTGGAGCCTACTCAGCAACGTTTCACTGCAAATGCTGCAAAGCGCCTTCAAAGTTTCCGATGCGGAGCACTACAACAGGCAAAAATTGATTCTTTCCTATTTAATTGGTTTATTGTTTTTATTTCCTCTTTTTGATTGACTTCTCTTATACAAATAAGATTGAAAAACTTTAACTTTTTTTTATTATTCACAATTATTCTTATACATTTATTTTTCAAATAAACATGTTTATTATATTTTTTATTTTTTTATGTTTAACAAGTTTCATTAAAAATTTTGCTGGTTCTTGAGTGTATAAAAAAGTTTAGTTAATGGATTTATAATGAATGTATATTGTTTTTTTAATTTTGATTGGTTAAATATATTCATTAAATTATACGATTTTTATTTTTATTAGTAAAACTTTTATTATATTTTTTAAGTTTTTTTTATATAATAAACTTGTTACAATTTTTTTTTATGTTTTACTGTTCTATTAAGTAAATAAAATTTACTTTTTGTAAAGTTTTTATAATTTGTGTATTCTACATTTTTTTTTTCTAATAGTGTTTTAGAAGAACTTCAATTGTTCAATAAAAGGCCGGACTTTTATTATGAAATAATCCGAACTCGCCTTTCTGTAGCTCAAAACGACATGCATCCGGTCTTTACGGAATCAAGCATGAAAGAAAACTACGAAAGGTTTCATTATAATAACAGTTATACATATAAACATAAAGAGAAACAGAAATCTAATGAAAAAATATATATGAAGTCATTAATATAACAGTATTTATAATTATGAAACTCTCGCTCTTTATAAAAAAATAGTGAATAGTATAGTAATCATAACAACGAGGAACTTCTGAAGGGAGATAACAGCGAATCATCGATAATAAATAAAAGTGTTATAATAATAATGATAATAATAAATATTTTAGATGGAAACTTTTTGAAGAAGAAAACTGTCGCGAACTTTATAATAAGGTCCAGCAGAATATCGCCGGCTACAAGTAGAACTACTTTTTGTGATACTTGAATGCAATCATGATTGGCGGAAAAAAGAGAGCACGTGAGACAAACACGAGTATTGACGCGGAAGAAAAAAAGCACCGGAAGCCTATTGGCCAGGACGCTGCGGGCGACCACGTGTCTTATTTCCGGGAGTTTGACCGTTCTTTCGGGATGTTTTTTATTTTTTTTTTTACTTTTTATTATTTTTGTTTTGGTTTAGCTGCTGGACGTTTCTTACCTTCACCGTGACGATCGCCCGTTGAGTATTTATATAAAGTTTGGGGAAAAAAGGTTTACTATTATTATTATCATTAATATTATTACTATTACCACTCATATAACAGTTACGAATCCCCGACATTCCAGCTCACTTCGCTGATTTTTAAAAACGATGCTTTTTGCCGGCCGTTTAGTTTTCTAATTAATAATCCACATGTGCTATTTAGCATAAAAGTTGTGTCGCACGAACAGCAGCAAACCGAACGAAGTAATGAATAATGATAAAGAATATTTTATAATATAAATTGTATAACTCTTTTATGTATTTCCATTAATAAATACTCTTTTTCAGGAAACTACTTATTAGATTATTTCTTTTACTAATTCTTTCATAATTATTTATTGCTCTTTGCTATAAAAAAGTTCTCCAAACAGTAGAAGTAATAATAATTTAATGAAACTTTTATTATATATATTCGAAATATTACAATAATACAATAATTATTAAACTTTTATTATTATATTATAATTACTTTTACTGATATTTTCTAATATAATAATAACGAAACCATCAAGGCAGTACGCTTGTAAGCAAGAGAAAAGTGAAGAAGATGGTTGTGGCTACTCTTCAAGTACTCTTATAACATCATGTTATTGGTTCTTGCGCTTCACTATTTTTAGATACCGGCAGCCGAGCTTTTTCTACACCAGCGCGATTCTTCTGTTAGTTTTATAATAATAATAATAATAATAATAATAATAATAATAATAATAATAATAATAATAATAATAATAATAATAATAATAATAATAATAATAATAATAATAATAACAATAATAATAATAATATACATAAAAAGATGCTAGTTTTAGAAAACTATTACACCATGAAGCCTGAAGGCAGAATGAAAGTCGGAATAAGGCAAGTAGTTTACTATATAATTATAGTAATAATAATGAGAAGTAATAATAAAAGGAAATAAAAATAATAAATAACAATAATATTAATAAATAATAATGAAGCTGCCATTTCAACTACTCGCTTCTCTCACTGGCTGGCTATGCCCAAGTGAGCGGTAAGTTAGCGTTTATCCGATTATATACTTTTTTTCAGTTCTTTTTTCCCAGGACTCGGATTGGAGGCTCCTGAGCGGAAGTTCATACTTTTGTCCACTACCGGAAGTTACATGCTCGCACAGCTTTTTGATGGGCATCGGCAGGCAAAACTTTTTATTATGGTTATTATTATTAATATTATCATTATTTTTTAAGGGAGAAGAGGCGCTTGCAAGTAAAAAAACGGACACTAAAAGTATTTATTATTATTATCATCATTATTATTGTGATTATTATAATTGATTAGAGGAAAAGAAACTAAAGAAGAAGGAAAAACACAACAAACATAAATTCGGTGCGTTATATATTTAAATATTCATTAAAAAAACAGGAAAAAATTATTGGGTTTTCAAAATTCTTCAATATTTTTAATGAATGTAATTAGAAATAAAACGAGTGGCAAAAGTTTCGTGTATTAATAGGAAATATATTATATAACTATAGAAAGTATATATTTTATATATAAACAACTACAAAAAAGTTATTTTAGTAAAATATATAATAGTAAATATATAAAAGTATATTATATACTTCAAACAATAATAAAAAGTAAAAAAATAAATAATAAGAATTATATAAAAGTATAATTTCCTTATTAATTAGAAAAATATATAAGTAAATATAGAAAAGTCGTTTTATCAATATGGAGTTTATAAAAGTTGTTTATCATAAATTTATTATAAAGTTATATAAAGTTTATATAAAAGTAAATATTACAATATAGAAATAATGAAATATATTAAAAACTATTATGAATATAATGAAGAAACAAGGCAAGCATGAAAGTAAAGAAATAAAATAACTATAAAAGTAACAATAATAATAATGAACAAAAAAGTATATCATATCTCTATACAACAATACAAAAAACTACGTAAATATAATAAATAGTGCTACTAATTAAATAGAATATATATAATAATGAGCATAGCTGCTAGTAAGAAATATAAGAAAGTATAATAATGATATAAAACTGGTAATAATAAAACATAACAATATAAAAATATATATAAAAAAGATAAGAAAATATATAAATATAATAAAATATGAACTATAATAAATATTGATGCATTAATAAATAATACATTTTAAGTAAAAAAATAATACTCTACATATAAAGTTTATAAGTAAAATATAAAAAACACAAAAGCATATTACTAAAGAGAAGTAATATGATAATGAATAAAAAAGAATAATAAAAAATTCTAAGTTACAAAAAGTTCATAAAAAATAATGCTTTTATATTAATAAATTTATTAGGAACACAACTGAAATATAATGAATTTCTTAACGACAATAATAATAAAGTTAACAAATTTTAATATAAAAAGAGTAAAAATAATAATAATAACAAAAATGGCTAAACTTTTTTTCTTATGAACTGCAGCAGAACATATTTCACTAAAATTTGGACACCCGCACCGCTTGAAGGTAAAAACTTTATACAAGTTTTTTTTTTTATGGGATATTTTTGGCGTATCAAAGTTAATAAAGTTTCGAGTTTATCTGTAACAATGTTTTACAATATTTTTTTATTTGAGTATATAAGTCTTATCAAAGATTTTTTTAATAATAAACTTTTTTAACAGAAAAAATATTATCAAGAAGACGACAAGAAAAATTTTTTGCTTAACAGAATATTCGTAACGGATAAGAATCCTCCAGTAGTCGATAGGGAAACGCGTATATTATTATTATTATTATTATTATTATTATTATTATTATTATTATTATTATTATTATTATTATTATTATTATTATTATTATTACTATTATTATTATTACTATTATTACTATTATTATTATTACTATTATTACTATTTTTATTATTACTATTATTATTATTGTTATATTTTAGAAATAGTTACTATTTTTAGTATGCATGAAGATTATAAGAGTTATAAAAAGTTTGAGTTGGAGTTTCTTCTGCAAGAAATAAACGTTGGAAAGGTTGTCTATTATTATCATTACCATTATTATTATTGTTGTTGTTATGATCATAGAAATGGCACGATATTTTAGTGGAGATGAGCATTTCGACGAATAATCATTACTGGAGTAAAAAAAGTTTGGAAGATCTTGAAAAGTTATTGGAAAAAGTTCGCGACGAGCATGAGAAAAGCCATTTAGACAGTTCTTATTATTACTTATATTCACAAAAATATAGTAAAACAAAGAAAATTGTGAATATGCATAATATCTTAATATAATGATAATAATAATTGCATTTCTAAAAATAATGATATGTTTAATATTTAGAAAATGTATATTATATAAGAAAAGTTTAAATAATAAGTATATACCACTGGGACAAAAGTACAGTAACAAGTAACCAATGATTTTACTGGAAACGAAAGGGTCACCAATAAATTTACAAGCAATAATAATAATGCAAGAAACTAAAATAGAAAACTTTATTATTAATTCTTATTATTATTATTATTATTATTATTATTATTATTATTATTATTATTATTATTATTATTATTATTATTATTATTATTATTATTATTATTACTATTATTATTATCACTATAGAGGGCTTGTACTCTATTATTGTTGGTCAACTTCATAAACATATAAAAGAAAGACAAGCAAGGTCTCATTTATTATTATTATTATTATTATTATTATTATTATTATTATTATTATTATTATTATTATTATTATTATTATTATTATTATTATTATTATTATTATTATTATTATTATTATTATTATTACTATTACTATTACTATTATTATTATTATTTTATACGAAACTTTTATGAATTTACAGCTTGTCATTATCAAAATTTGAGAAGAAAAAGAAAAGCAGACACGAAAAGGTAAACTTTTCGGAGTTAATCGAAGACTCCTTAAAGGTTTATTATTATTATTATTACTATTATTACTATATTCATTAATTATTCCAGCACTCTCCCCAAAAAGAGGAAGTAGAAAATTATTATGAAAATATGAATGCACTACTTTTTATGCTTTCAAAATTTTTTTGTTCGCAAGCTTGTAAGTTTTATATTACAGACTTTTATTTATTTTTTGTTTTTCCTTTATATTTTGATATCCTTAAGTATATTACTTTATAGTTTTTTACTTTTTAAATATTTTTATATATATTTTTTTATTTTTTTAATTCTGTATAAACTTTTATTATTGCAATCATTTCTGTAGAAAAAAGTTACGTTTTCAGATTTTCGTATACGAAGAAATTCTTGCTTTCTTTATACTAAACTTTATTTTTTATAAAATAAAAAAGTTTTATTGCTTTTATTATTATATACAAAAATTTATGGTATAATAAAGTTTCCAGTACTGTTATTCATATATCCTTTTCTGTTTAATATAACTTTTTATGGCTTTTATTTATATTTTATCCATAAAATGTTATTATTATATTACTATTATATATATTTTTATATATATTACACTTTTTGTTAAATTTTCTAATATAATAAACTTCTTTCTTTAAACTTTTTATATATATTTAAGGCCTTCATGCTTTGCTTTGCTTCGGAGAACTTTATGGAATAAGTTTGTACTATACGCTAACAATTATTATTAAAAAGCTCAAAGGAAAGTTCAGGTAACCTCTAATATCCAAAGTTTTCATTATTTTTATTGATAAGGAGTACATTATTTCAAAAGTTTAGCAAAAAACTGTAAAGTTTCTGAAGACTTTCTTGATTGGTTTGCTCTCTACCAACCATCGCTTGAGCTGCTTTGTGATATGCACAGAACTACCAATCAAAACGCTTCAGACTTTCATAATAATTATATAAAGTTTTGTATTTTTTTAACTATTTTATAAAAATTGTTCCATATAGTAAACTTTTTATTGCCAGTAAAAAAAAGGTTGTAAAAGTTTTTTTTGGTTACTACTAAAATATTCTGTAAACTTGTCTTCACAAAAATTATTTATAATAATTTTTGATAGTTTTATTATGAACTGAAAACTTATTTATACTAGTGTTATATAAATACAACTGATTTATAAATATTTCTTCATATTTACAAAAAATAAGTTAATATTATCTAAAAAAGTATAAAAAAGTTTTCTCAAATATTCAATAAATATAAAAATTCCTGAAACTATAAAAAATTTTTTGGAATATTTTCAGTACCTAATATTATTAGTAAAAGTTATTAAGTATAAGATTTAACGTTTTTACTTTTCTCCTCTAAAGCTGATTGACTGAACTGTCATTTTTTTAATTTTTATTGGCTGCTTCTATTCAGAGAAAGAAGTCTTTGGCTGGCCACTCCAGAAGAACAGGAGTCCTGTCACGCAGCTGTCAAAGAAATTTTTCAGCAAATAGAAAATCGAATCTCCCATGTTGATTATTATTATTATTATTATTATTATTATTATTATTATTATTATTATTATTATTATTATTATTATTATTATTATTATTATTATTATTATTATTATTATTATTATTATTATTATTATATATATAAATAAACAAGTATAAGAACTACTTCCCGTACGGTCGTGGAGGCATCTCAGAGGCCATCAGCATGTACAGCTTATCCCACGAATTCCTCGTGGCTGCTGGTTGTAATTTTTATTCATTATTTTTCTTGACCTTCTATTGCTTTTGGCCCACAGGAATTTTTACCGACGAACTTATAGAAAAACTAAAGGAAGCTTTATTTGTACAGCTTTTTCTTATTTTTCAATTTGTGATTATTATTATCATTATTATTATTTAGACTTCTTGTCAGGAAAAATACGTGCAGTTGAGAGGGACTATTCGAGCTGATAAAAGTGGCCGCATGGAAGCGGTAGAACTCTTAAATTTGTGCAACCTAATATTTTTGGAGCTTCGCGGTTATTATTATTACTATTACTATTACTATTATTATTATTATTATTATTATTATTATTATTATTATTATTATTATTATTATTATTATTATTATTATTATTATTATTATTATTATTATTATTATTATTATTATTATTATTATTATTATTATTATTATTATTATTATTATTATTATTATTATTATTATTATTATTATTATTATTATTATTATTATTATTATTATTATCATATGTAGACGACAAGCAATACTTCTCTGAACCATTTTATTCGTGTATTGATCTTCTTCTTCTTAACTTGAAGTGCTTCATTCAGTCCTACTCGCTGGAACTTTTGGAATATCTTTCCTACAGCGACAAGGCAAACTCTATATACTCTGCTTTCATAATAAAAAGTGTATAATTTTTAAATACGATCTTATATGTCCTTATGGATAGGACTATTATTATTATTATTTATTCTAGAAAGATCCGTGCTTAATAGAAGTTTACTTGAAGCTGAAGGAAATCGAAAATGAATTTTCTTACATCGGAGAGGTCAACTTTGCTCCAATCTTCATCGAGTTTGAGCCAGTCATCAAGCAGTGGATGCTTAGAAGTTCGGTATACAAAAATTATAAAATATTAATATATATTTATACATAAAAAATTGTGAAACATGTATAAAATATTGGGGAGTTGTAAAGATTGGATTCGAAAATTATCATTGGTTACATTAGATGGGGAGCTATTTCGTATTGGCTAATTTTTCCACAAAGAAACCTACAAAACAGAATATTTTTTTACTGGCTGTAAAATGTTTATCAATTTTATAGTGAAAAAAACAAAATAATATATAATAGCTGAATAATAATAACTAAAAAATTTTTTAAAGTTTTGCAAGAAAAATGAAGAAGTAAATATTTAATGCAGACAATAGTTTGATTACTTTTAATGAATTTTTAATATATAAAAAGTCTGATTTTGCTATAAACTTTATTGTTCTCCGCTAAAAAATATTCATTGTTTGCTGTGAAGAACTTAGCAAAGGAATGGATCATGCGCGCCGTGGCCATCAACCAATCAAGTACGTTCGAGGCCACCGACACGCTAACTATCAAACACTCTTCCTCAGTGGTGGATTTTTTCTGCTTTGCCAATGAAGTACCCAAATAATGTTTATTACTATTTGTTATTATGACCATTATTATTATTATATATACATAAATTTTTGATATTTATTAAATGTTGACTTTTATAATTTTGAAAGACATATAAAATTCTGCGGACTTTGGATTGGAAAGAAACAGAAACACGTACAAAACTAGACTTGGAAATGGTCATAATAAGTAATAACAATAGTAAGAATAGTAATAATAATAGTACTGTAGATGGAGTTTGTGTGCAACTCTTCCCAGACGTACGCCTCCGAAGTTGTGAATAATATTCGAGTTTACTTAAATACTCAGAATAATGATCTGCCAAAAGTTTATTATTATTATGATTGTTATTTCTATAACTGGCTCATATTATTAATTTGGCAGGTGTTAAGGTTCTGGACTTTGGAGTACTTTTTTGCCCTAAACAACGTTTACGTGATGAGCAGCGAATCAGAGGCTCTCATCAAGGCTCTTATTGATGATTTGATATACATCGAAACGGAGATGAACGTTATATACATTTCATTATTTTTTGGCGCTTCACTAACCACTTGGTGTCACCTTACTAGAAAAAAGTTGCTCGTCGAGGCGCCCACGTGACTCTTTTGCCTGGGATGAACAGTTTGGCCGCTCCCAGCAAAAATAAGAACGACCCCCTGCAGGGCAGTGACGATTACGCGGCGCTTTCAGAATCCAATAGGCGGGCGCTAAAGACGCTGCTCGACCAATATTACGCCTCTATTGAAAATAGTTTAAAAGTTTTAGTTATCAACGTGATCAGGACGGTATATTATTATTATTATTTTGTTGTTGTTGTTATTATTATTACTATTATTAAATTAATATTATTTTATTATACATAGATGGACTCGACCATAGAAAAAAACGTCTCTCGTCTGCTAAAAGGAGCGCTCTCCATTGTAACTTTTCTTTATTCCTTTAACTTTCTATAGTTTTCTGCTAAAATAATTTTGAGCGAAGGAGCTCGGTCCAGACACTCCCGAGGAGAGCTTCCGCGACGTTTCTCAGTCGTTCATTGGACCGCTTTTTGACTTTCTGGACGACCGTTTGCTCTTGCTCTCCACTAATCTCTATGATGCTATATTCAAAAAAATTCTATTGGTGGCTTAATTTTTTTATTATTTACTGGATAACTTTAACATTTCCTTCTGGTTTATTTATAGGAACTTTCACAGGAATGTTAATGATTTAGTATAAAAGTTTCGTTAGTATTTAGTTGTGAATGTATAAGTTTACTATTAGCATGGAATATTTACTTGTTAAACTCACAACTTTTAAGTATATTAGAAGTGTGTTTGTTTAGTGATTGTTAATATTAATAATACGAAGCATACAATAAATATATATTTCTTTACTTTTTAATAAAAATTATTACTGTAACAGACTTTGTGGAAGCGAATAGCATTGATAGGCTGCGCTTTTACTTGTCCTGATTATTCTCAACGCAAAGAACGCTGCATTGATTCGTTCATTGGAAACTCATGCTACTCATTGGTGCTTGACACACTCGAAGTATGTTTTTATTCGCGACCTAAAATGAGAAATATTATAGAATGATTATGGTTGGTGTTTCTTTTCACTATTTATATTGAAATATGCTTATTGATGATGATTGGTTTGCGTATTCTTCTTTTCATAATTTGTTTATTTTTGATATGAAATATAAAATTGAGCACTTTTGTATTGTATTTTTATTTTTTTAATAATTTTTTTATGCTATAAATATTTTTTTAGCTTTTTATTTTTTTTTAAAAAATTTATGTTTTATGTTGTTTTGGACCACTGTGATATTGAAACTTAGTAGTTTTTTACATTTCCTAGTATTATCACAAACCTTTTATTTAGTAAAAATTCGTCATTATCGGTTTTTTTTTAATATCTATTTTTTATTAAAACTTTTCACTATTTTTTTGTTTACTTTAAAGGATATTAATCTTCTACTTCTACTTCGCTAATAAAAACCTTTTTATAACTTCACTTTTATTTTCTTCAAAAATACTTTTTTTAACAAACAAACTTTATTATAAGTTTTATTTTGCTTTAAAACTTTTTTATTTTTTTGTTCATTTTTTAAATTTACTTTTTATATAACATTCGTAATCATTACAATTTTAATAGTGCATAAAAAACTATTTTTATGCTGGCGGAATCGGCTTGAGTCAAGAGCAAGTTGGTTTCATTCGTCAATTATTATGATTGCCAATGGCTTAATTTCTTTATTATAATTTTTAACTGAGCAGTATTAAGTAGTTGATGAGTTTTGTGCTTCAAAATTAACTTTTTATAATTTTTTTGTGATACACTTTCTATTTTACATTAATCAATAATAATTTATAGAAAATAATTTTTTTTAATAAATTTAGCTGGAATGCGAGGAGTATTACAATTTGCTCAACATCTTAAAGTTCTGCGCGACAACAACTGAAGATCTGATCAGCAGTTTACTATTTATTTTACTTATCCAGTTAGAATAGCACTTTTTAGTAATCGTCTATTCATAACAAAAGTTTATGAGCTTAAAAAGAGCGAACTTGCTCTTCAGGTTTTGAAGAACAGAGTAAAGTGTGAAGCTGCCATGAAGTTTCTCGAAAAAGAAGACGGTTCACTCAAAAAAGCAAGCTAAAAAAACAATGAAAGTTATATACTTTTTATTTCAGGCGTCCGTTATGATTATGAGAGCCATCCGCGATATGAATTCTTCCGCTAATCCGTAGCAGAATAAGAAAACTTCTTTATAAAAAAAAAATATAAACCAAAAATTGTTTTTTTTTAATGCTTCTGATACGCGCGTTTATTCCTTTGTCGTAGAGCCAGGTGGCAGCAATGCGATTGATCGTGGAAGCAGTATAGATAAATCGCTTTGCAGCAGGCATGCAGTAGCACTAGTGAGTGGTAGGGAGCGCCCTTCCTTCTCTAAACTTCGTATAAAACTTACAGATTCTTCAGAATTTAGTGGAAAGAAAACACTCAATACTATAAACTGGCTACAACATTGAAGTTGGTGTATGTTTAGATTTTAATACGATTTTGACTGATACAAAAATTTATTAGTATTCAGCTTCCTTTTTTATAAGTGTATTATTCGAGTGGTATCAATACTCCACATCCCATTACGGACTTAAGTAAGTGGCTTACTAGCATGTTACTAGTATGCTAATCAACACTACCTCCTAGTCTAAACCCCTTAACAATACTTTTTTACCAAATTTAAAAACTTATTATTTACCTTCAAGTTAATAGAAGCTTAAAAAAGGCATGGAGGCAGGTTATACCTGCAAAACAAAACTTATCTTACATGTACGGACGCTAGTGGTTTTTTTTTTTTAAAAGTCAATAAAAATTTTCGTTGTATAAGTTAGTTGACTCCCAAAAATGTTCAAGGATTGAGAAACACTCGTAGTAAGCTGGTGTACAATTGAATTGAAATAATTTAATAATCATTGAGCAAGAGTAGAAAAGAGCAACAATTTTTAAATAAATGTAAGAGCTGACGCAATTAACTGGAACACGTTAACGAAATCTGCTAAGTTGCTCAATTAAGTTTCTGTGGAAGGTTAGTAGCAAAGACGACCCCGCAGAATCAATGGTGGATTCAATGAGTAATGGTTCCTATGGTCTATTACTTGATCCGAGGATGCAGGCTTGATCGTGTCTCGTTCGACTGAGCTTGTAATAGTATCGGTACTACCGTACCGGTAGCTTGTGTAGCGGCTTCGGCTTCGACTCGGGCTATTGGTACTATTAATATAGTGCCTCTACTATATAGACTATAGGTAACTATTCTATATATATGGCGCCGCTCCCAAGAATGTACGAGTCATCTACAAGAAATAATGGCGGATTTACGTCTGATTAAAGTAATAAGGATGGTAAAAGGAAGAATTTTTAAATTTTTCTAATATTTAGATAACAATTTCCAATAGCTTAGTAACTGCAGGGATTAAAACGGTTCCTCTTTACCTTCTGGTTTAATCCATATTAACTATATTACAGGAAATCTTATGACCTAGCTATCTGATATTTTCATACAAAGACAACTTTCTGCCAAATTTTTTACAAAGTAGAGCATTATGCAGTTCAAGTATTACTGGTGTAAACTCATCCTTTCTGATCTCAGTAGTTCCACTTCTACTTAAATCAAATTTTCAAGGTATTGCGGTTTTAAAATAATATCGTAATTAAGAAAACTGAGGTGTTTCTTTGTTAGCTCCACAGAAGATAGCAATCCTTCAATTACTAAACCTAAAAGTAGGTACGCTGTATTATAGACAAAACAGTATAACTAGTGAGGTAACTTTAACTTATCCTGTAATAAAGGAAAACTTCTCATCCATTTAATAACATTTTTTTTTTACAAGATGTAAAGTATCACCTATGACACCCTTTGGCCAAGTAATGCTGGTGCATTAGAGATTAAGTAAGCTAACCACAATCAGAATTGGTGTTTTTCGATTATTGCTGGGTAAGAGCCGTTTTTAAAGTATTAAGATAAGAAAGCTTACAAAACCTACCATGAGTTCTACAATACATAAATAGAGCCCAAAGCTCTGTTCTTCTAGATTAAGACAATGACTTACACATAGCACCATCCAGTGAAGGCTAACTCGTGTATTGGAGTTTGGGACGCACTGACACAGTATATCAGGGACCTCTCTAGGAAAGAAGCTTAAAAAGCTCCTGAGAGTGTGCCTATGATAAATTTTAAAATTTTCCTTAAATTACCAGCTATTCCTCATTAGAGCTATTAGCCTGAATACCAGAACTGGACCCGTACGGATTCCCAAACGAGAAATCAAAAGCAAATGTTAAGAGAGAAATTACGAAATATTAACAATAATTATATGTGTGTGTTAGTTTCTTGTTAACATTTATCAAAGGTAGTAACACAAAATTTATAAACGAATTACTTTAACTAAGATCACTCAATATTTATTTGTTAAAGCTAGTCCCGGCCAACTATTAAGTTTTAGCATAGCTGAGGTGGGCAGAAACAAACAATGGCAATTTTTGTGAGCTATGGTGGCGGCCTGCAGTATGTTTTTTATGCAAAAGTTATAACATATTTAAAATCTCCGCCGGTTCTTTAATTTGCAATATTAACCGGTCACCGTAGTTTTGTAAAATTCAATTTTTGGTTAGTTTAAGATAAATGTCACATGTGTTCAACAAGCCTCCAATTTCACAATGGTTGTTGAAGTATAACTGCAAAGCTATTCAATAAAATTGATTTTAGTATATCATTACAGCTTTAGTACAGTTGGGCCATTGAACTATTCGCGACGAAAAGAAACAAATAAATAAACTATTTATATTAAATATTATTCTCGTCAGTTAAATAAGACTTAACAATGTAAGCAAAGTAGAGCAGCGTTATAAGCCAAACTACCAACATAGTAGCTGCCTTGTAATTCGTTATAGTTTCCAGCCTACGTGAACTAAGTTTAATGAAGAGAACGCACGATAACTAGTCGTGCAGATTAAAATAAACAAAACAGTAAGTTTGCTATAAATCATTACAAAAAATTTATACATTAAATATTTCCGAATGACCATTTTCCAGCCATGTGTCATTAGTCAGTAAAAATAATTAGCAAAAACAGTTCCGATATCGGGAAAAATTCAAACTAGCTTCTGTAAATAGCAATTATACTAAGCAAACTACAATAGATATATACCAATACCCCGATTTCACCAAGCTAAGGTACTTGGAAAATTACCTTTAACATAAAAATTTTTTCTTTCAAAGTCTAAAATATATCATTTACTTCTATAAAAAGTTTGGTATTTTTTAGAAAGCCCGACAGGCACCTAAATTTACTATTTATGTTAGGTCTTTAAAAGTTTAAATTTACTATTTAACTTTAACATGTATTCAGATGTTGCATATTACTGTGCAGCGATTAGATTATTTTGCTCTTGCGCCTGCTAAAAGCCGGTAGAGACAGCAGAACCCTTGACTAGCGTGGTAGTCTCTCAGGTCTTGTCAAATTGTTAGTTACAATTATTATAAAACATCCTGCATAGTTTTTATTAAATATTTCTTCACGGTTTCGTGTTTGAGCAGGTGACAAATTTTATCCAAATTAGTTACATCTAGGTTTCTTCTGTTTAAGTTCATTTCGTCTTTTCCCTATTAATTAATTTTGTGGCCGTCATTTTGCTTATACATATTATTAAAAAATAATATAATTTATGACTCGATGAAAATAAATAGTATTTAGGCGAACTGTAGCAGGCTTTAAATTAAGTAATGCTTATAGCAAGAAAGCAGTCAATTAATATCTTTTTCTGCCACATTAGGTATTCTCAGATTCTTTTTTTTTAAATAAAAATCGATAACGGCTGGTAGAAAGTTAAAAAAGCAAACCAATAATTTTTTATCTTTATGGTCATACTAGGACTTGATACCCTAGTAATGATTTCCTGCCTTCTTAGGGTGGGCATTCACTTTCTGGCGAGGTAGGAAAACTAGCAGACAAAAACAACTTAGAAACAATTATTATGATATAGCAATTATTTCTTTGGCTGCAGCTGTAAAATTATTAACTTTAAATAACATTCAAAAGAAAGGGCATTAGCTAAACCACTATTTTAGACTCTTCGCCAATTTTGGCCTTTTAAATATTGTTATTTTTATGTAGGTTGATACCGTACCTTCAATATCACAAGGATGCATACTCCCCCCGAAACCACTAACAACGGGGAATCCCTCAAGAATTCAAACACTATCTACTAAAATTTATGAGGGCAAGTTAAATCTACCCAACTGTCAAATACAGAAAAAAGGAGTGCTGAGTCGGTGAGACGGAGACACACAACATTGAGTTTGCACGCCAATGCATCTAATCGGTGAGCTGCGACAATACAATCCCGGTATGATAGTGCGCGATGTGCCTCAAACCGACAATCCCCCGCCCTGCTCCCCTACCCACCCACACACAAAGGGGGATGCCCTATACGCAGTGGATACGGTGATTTGCTCCTCGTCTACCTAGAATGACTTGCTATCCTTATTGTGTCAGAGTCTGCAGTGCTAACCCTTCGTGTCGTCACTAGTAAATTATTATGCGGTTGTGCAAAACTTCCTTTCTTAGGAAGAAGGGTACTGCACCACCACTAGCTAGCCGTTGAAGACAAAATAATGTCATGCTCTTCTCAAAATGGCGGTCGTACGTAAACAATGCGCAAGCGAGGTCAAGATGGTGTATGCTTTACTTTGTGCTTGAAGCAAACTTGCGTTGCGCAACAAGCAGTACTTCCATGTGTTGTGTTCCCGCTAATCATGGCATAAGCGTCTGCTGCCCAGGTAGACTAGCTGCTACGCGTTATGATGGGCGCATCGTGGTTTGTTAAAGCAATGTTTTACAGCAAGACCTTCCAGATCGAGCTTTTGCTATCGTTTTTCAACGCAATATTATCGCCGTCCTCAAACGACTTCCCAGGTAATCCATCAGTGTAATACTGGCAAAAGAACAGTTACGATCCATGGGCCAGCGCACGCTACCGGCTAACAATAGCTCTCTCTTTTGACTTTAAGAGCATTACCCTAACTAGCTCGTAAGTTCAAGTCTTTTCGGTGACACAATATGCTGAGCTACCCGATATGTTTAGGCCTCTAGTATTTAAACGGTATCATAACAGTAAGTATCGTACTAAGTTCATTCACTTCTATAACACACTTAAAACCCGCCATTTTAAAAAAAAGTTATGAAAAGCAGTACCAACTCCAGGATAATTACCCTGAATACTAAAAATATTTTAAAGACAACAACGACGGTGGTATTATTAGATTATATGTGTTTATTACTATTGAAAAAGTATTAAGAAGCTGAAGGCTTTAGCAAAACCTTTTTTCCCCTTTCTTATGTACACAATTTTATATACTTTACTTATTATCCACTTATTTATATATATAACTAATTAGGTGCGTATCGTTAACAAACTATATGTTGATTTTTACTTTTATACTATTCAGACTGTTTTTAACTCTTAGCAAAGCTTAAATAAATCAGGATGACACTTAAAACTCCATTAAAGGCTACTAGCTTTCATACGAACTAAGATATAAGGGTAAACTTTTGGGAGTACTAATTTAATATAATTGTATCTACGCCTAATTATCCTATTCTGTATAAACATAATGGAGTTTATAAATATTGTTTTAAAGTTTCACTTTAGGGGAGCAAGTTAGGACCTAAACGGAACTTCATATGTAACACTCCTTTTTGTGAAAAGTTTTTATAGGAAACTTTTGGGCTTTACTTATATATAGTAGAGTGTACGAAAGGAATGTATCGAAATTTAAAAGGATTAAACTGATATATTGGAGATGGAACAAGTTTTAAATCAACTTCTCAGCGTCAAAGCGACAACAGTGTTCTTAATTTCTTTTATTATTCACTTCCAAAATTAAGTTTAAACCTCTCTCTCTCTTTCTTGGGTAAAATTCGATATTCAAGGAATTTTATAGGATTTATCTGTAATCCAAAAAACTTCAACTTCAGGACGAGTGAGTTTCTGTCTACCAATCCACTTCTCGGCCCTTTGCGGCATACTGTAATATTGTTTCGAACAAAATTTAAGGTTAATTTTTGTACATAAGGATTACATTTTCCGTATTTCTTTGTCAGTGATTTCTGCATCAGGGTTTCCTTATACTCAACAACTCAACTTTAATTTTTTTTTTTTATATCATTTTCGCACCCAACTAGTCTCCTGTTACTTGCCGAAAAATATGTGTTTTTTTTCTACGAAAACATATAACTTTATTTAAAACCTAGTCTAAATAGTTTTTTCTTTCAACTTATTATTATAAATTCTGATTTCCCATTAAAAGTTTAACAAAAACATCAATATTCAAAACGTTTAAGATTTTTACTATAAACGTGGCTTCTTTTTTTAAAATTACCTGTCTTAAGCGGCAGACTTGCTTGTTTTTTAATTTGCGTTAAGTAACTGAGCTTTAGATAGCCGTGCCCACTGTATAACTGTTACACGCATCTAAAAGAAAGTCTTCTAGGAAACCAAAAATTTAAAAAACCAACATTAAACTCAGTTTTTTTTTCTTAAGAAAGGCTTAGAGAATTATATATCCGTAAACAGCGGTCCGAATTTTAAGTTAAAAAATACAAAAGAAGTTTTTGTAGATCAAAAAAATAAAGAACTGAGATTAGCTTCGTCATCCCTTTAATGATATTTGTAACTATAATAATTTTGATAAAGGGAAGAGGAAAGGAAGTCTGTTGCTTATGTGTAAATTTAATAAATATAATAAAAAATTGAAACTATTTTTATTATTTTTATTATGCTGCTATTTTTTAAAGCAGGTAAAAAGATGTATCCCCTAATTTTGTCAGAATTAACCTTTAACTAACGGTATGCTTGCTGCTCAGAGCGAAACCTACTCAATAAAAAAAAGTTTAATAATATTACACATAAGCTTTAGATCGGTAACATAATTATATACATGGCAAATTCTACTACAAGTTACACTCATCAGATATAAAATTACTATTAAATATTTTTCTTTAAAAAAAATTAATTAAATTTAAGACACTAACTTAGTCTTCTTTGCTTTATTAATATAAAAATAGCAAAACTGAGGTTTTTATAGAATACTTGTTTCTAGCGGATCCGAATCGTCTTCTAAATCTTTTTCTCCTCTGAATAATATTTTATAAAAGTGCTAGACATCTAAATTATTAACAACTCAGCGAAATACAACAATAATTCTGACCTCATATACTATCAATGCTCCCAGCAAAAATAACAATTGCTCTAAATGAATTATTTCTCGAATAACAAAAGTAGTACTTCCAGGTAAACTGGAGAAGTACAAAAAGGTTGCAGAAAAAAAAGAAAACACAGCACTATTGTATAGTACAATGGATATTACTTTTTCCTCTTCATGATCCTTTGCTAATTAAAGTATAGGAGATAATAAGTAATTTAAAGACAGGTTGTAAACATTAATTTTAGGAGTAATAATAAAATATAAAAATTAGCAATTTAACTTGGGGTTGTTTTTAAAAATAAAATTATTATAAAACCAAAAAAAGGAAAGTAATAAAAAGATTTAAAAATAGTATATAATATAAGTGGTGAAAGAAAAATATTTTTTAACTACTATGTAAGAATTGAAAAACAGAGTAAAAAATACAAACGATGTTATGAGATGTAGTATATCATAACCTAATTGTAATAAAAATATTCCAAGGAAAGAAACAATTGCTTGGACTACTTCTACTATATAAAATCTGAAGCTTCTTACGCAACGAGTTTCATACTCATCGCCTCCACTTAGCGAATTGGGCAAAAGAAACAGTGCGGAACCTCCCAAGTATAATATTTATAGTACCACGTGAATTCGGTATGCGATATACATTTACTACGAACTTCGAAGCTTTTCTAATATAACCAACGCTTATACACAAAATAAATATCTCGTTACTTTCTTTTTCTGAGACGGTCCAGTAAATTAAATAACTTGACATTATAATAAGTGCCGCGCATAATACAGCGAGATCTGATAATTATATATAACCAAAGGGTATATATTCTATAGAAAAAGCAAAGAAGGCTACGAGTGTATACCTAATAATATTCTTTTTTGCTTTAAATAGTTGACTCTATAAATTCTAATGTATAAAGGAGCAACAACGAGAACCCAGCCAATATTATATAACCAGTTCGTCCAAATACATCTTTCCTCTAAGTATATTTATTATGTTCATTTTAAAACGGTTCTGCATATCTGCTTAAAAGTTTAGCTTTACCGCTAAGAGTTGATGCAAAAAGAGGCATCCATAGTGATATTAACTGCCACATAGCTCCAGTTATCATAAGATACATCATGAAGGGATACGAAGATTCGATGCTTTCACTGTGGTGTTTATGTAAATACGCCAACGTTCCCATAGAGGCTAGGTAAAACAGCATTATAACGCTGGTGACTCCTATCATAACGACTCGAAAGGTCCTTGAAAAAGTTTCCCTTACGATTGTCTGCGGTTTATAGTAAAGTAAGTATGTGAAATATATTTAAAGTTAATTAGATAAGAAGAAATGTTCATTTTCCGTCCGCTCATGTAGAACGACCAAACGTTCTTAAAAGGGTAGTATTTACAAAAAGGTTTTAAACGAAATTGATTTTACGGTGATTAGTTAATATTATAACAGCTAAATAACAAATAACAGCTTTTTTTTACATCAATGGTTGGCTCGTAATTAAGTTTAGTTAAAGAATTTCCTGGGAAAAATATTCTAGTATAATTTTCAAACGACAGTTTTTTGTCAACTGCAATATATTTTGTTAATTTCCATTATAATCAAATATAATTTTTAACTTACCAAATGAAAATTCACCAAAAACTTGTGTTCTAAAAGAGGGGGAGGGTTTATTTTGAAAAAGTATATTTTTGTAATAAATTTTATAACCTATTTGGAATAAAAGTTATTTAGTACGAAAATTATTATATTGTACCATGAAAACCTTCTTCTGATCTTCCTCCATGCCTATCAAACTTAATTTGCCCTGTTGAGCCAGTGAAGTCTAGTTCATATATTTTATCAAGTAATAAAATGTTATAAAAGTTAGAGGGGATAGCAAGGTTCTCAAAAAACTCTATTGCGTAACAGACGCCAGTATGTGGGCGCTCATCCCCTGGGCGGTGGCAATTGTTTTTATCCATTAGTAATCTACACAGTGTGGGGTAAAGTTTTAATACGTTAATATTGCGTATTAAAATTACGTACTCTTTCACTTCATTATTATATCTCTCGCAATGCTGGGATATTTTATAATCATTGGGGTTTAAACAGTTTTCCTCTATGCCGCGTTGTCTTAGTTCTTGAGCGGCAGCCATGTAACTTCGTACAGCAACCAAGACGGAGTCGTAGGCTACACATCCTAAGTACTGTCAAGTAGTATAACTTTAGAAAGGTCGGATTACTGCTTTATATTATTCGGCTTAAAAAATGTAATTAAATTGCAAACAAATAAGTTGAAACCTAAAAGTTTAACTAATTAAAAATTTATATACATATATCATTGTCTGCTAAGCATAAAAACATTTAGTTTATATTTCTGAAACTGGAATTCTTTAACTGAATGAACTTAATTATATAAGGAATATTTGTTTAGTTGATCAGTTGTTAAGTTGGTTTTTCTCAGCAAGACAAAAAAAATAAACTTGCTGAACAAAACGAATTATTTAATAGGAAAACAAAGCTGCAAGTACCACACAAATTTATATGAATAAATAATTTAAAAAATAATAAAAGGAATAATAAAGGTCTCAGTTTATATTGGTATGAAGTAATAAAAACTTGAAAATAATGCATTCTTAATCTGTTAAATTATGGAGCTCGTTGTACCTCTGCCTCATAAGAAGCATTAACTTTCCTTGCGCTTTCAACAAAATTTCTGTACTCGGTGGTCTTAGTATCACAGGCGTACCCAATAGTAATTAATCCTTGGCCCACTATCGGATTTTCTTTTAAAAATTTCCTGTTTTAAAACAACAAAAGGGTTAATTTCAAGTTGTAAATTTGTTATTTATATTATATAAACCAAGTTTCTAATAAGTCTTCTAAGTCCGAGTCGATTACCCAAGCATGGTCTTTGTTACCAACCATTCCCAATTTATAAGCTTCTTCAAGTACAACTGGAACATACAAACTTTTTTTTTTAAGAAAGTTATTTCTGTTAAATAACATAAGTAATGTTATAAAAAAAAATTACCTCAAACAAGCCAAGTAAAATATTTTTATGTTTTTTGACTTCAAATAACTTAGTTGATTAAACAAAAATTTTCTGTAGTTAAGTTCTGACCCTAATAATGTTTAGTTTATATTAGATTTTATCTTCTGATACCTCTAATTTATTAATTAGAGTTTAAATTAACCACAAACTTTTCGTTATAGCGCCCTACCAATACTTTAAAGAGAAATTTAATGTTACAGTTCTTTGAAATTAATGAGTAGTAAATATAAATATATTACTGGTGGATATTTACTTTATCAAATATTTTATGTAATTTATTTAAATTTAACTTGCCTCCAAAAAAATAAATTTTTTCAGCTATCCTAAAACCCAACACATTTGCTTGGTTGAGTAGTTGAGCTGTTTGTTGTTGTGAATAAGTATCCTCTGAAGAAATTACAGCAAGATTTTTCCATCCAATCTTGTGAATTAAAGCTGCTAAGGCACCTAATTATAGTTGCAGCATATATATATAAATAGTTATACAATATACAATTGTTTTAGTAATAAAATTAAACTATTAACGTAAGGTTAAATTAAGTATACTTGACTCTTTCTTATTGTAATTTTCTGCTAAAACCTAGTAGTTTATTAGGATTACTTATATGAAATTTGTTTTTATAAGTCATATCTTGGCGAATAGCTACCTGTGCCTTCTGCTTCAAAATGGCTAAAGGGCGTCATTGTCACTAGCGTTGAGTAAACACTTTTATCTACTAATGCAACTATATAAAAATTAGAAAAAAAGTTTTTAGCGCAACTAAGTTTAACACCTGCATTAGATACTGATATCCCAGGTATTCCCATAGATCGTAAATAATGATAAATGCCTGCAGAGACATAGGAATAATAGGAGCCGATAACTATCGAATAATTAACTTCCTTTATGAAGTAATATGAATCTCTTTCTTTTCCAGTCATGAGAAGGTTATACTTACCTTAATAATTACGTTTCTTAAAGCTTTATAAGGTTCGCTTGCATCATCCAAAATTTCTGCTTCCAGCGAAGTAACATTTTTTAATAAAGCAATCGAGGAGTACAAGCCAATTTTCAAACCATCTTTACTTAAAGGAAAACTTGCCCGAAGATTAATTGCTTGAACAAATAAATTTGTTGCAAGTAAAAATATGAGACAGAAAAAAAAACTTCTAGTCATAACTCCCTTTATTACCAAGTTTGATAACAAATTACTTTTTATTTATAACTGTAGCTAAAATTTTACTTAATTTTTTTAATAATAACGGCAAAGCTTTCAATAATACTTTGGTAAAATAGTGTTGTCATTCTAACTATTATGATTCTACTATAGTAAGTCCGTACTTACATAATTAATTATATCTAATTTTGTTATAGATTAAAGCATGTGGAAACTTTTAATTATTATTGGCTAAAAATAGTAAAAAGTTTTTTAATAAAACCGCGAACCACTAAGCTAAAAATTAATCGGCATACCTAATATGATTTTGACAAAAAATTGTTTTTTCTCTCTTTGATAGTATCAAGCTAGAATGTGCTCCTATTTACGATGTACATAAGAGTAATTTACACTATTTGTGCTTGTCGTGCGCCTGTTTGATAATTTATTAATAAAAACTAACAAAGGAAATACTACTTAAGTTACAAATATACAATTTGATTAGGGAGCTTGTAAACAACTAAAACACGTTAAAAGGTGGTTTCTCCTTTATAACATGTGTAAGCAAAAAAAAGTTTAGAGATTAATTACTATAATTTTAAATTAGCTACATTCTACAGTAAATATGAAGAACGTAAACTTTGCTAAATTTATGGAAGCACTTGGAGTTAACTAGTGTTTTAAAGGTTTTTTACCAAAAAAATCTAGTTTATAATATCGAACCGGTTTTTTTTGTTTATGCAACCTTTGAAACGGTTTTCAGCAGAAAAACAACACGCTTTTAAAGAAGCACTGGCGAACTGCTCAATAAAATTAGGGTATAATAAAAATTTACTTTTAGCCGAAACAAATTATTTTATTTAGTATTAATTAGTAACTCAATGTGTATACGGCTCGCGAAAATTACTTAGTTCTTAGCAACTTTAATTTTTCAAAATAATTTAAAAGTGAGTTAAAAGAGGTTGGAAAATTTTTACAAAAGTTAGTTTATTTATTAGTTAAATTTATAAACAATATATTTAAAGTTCGGCTATAAGCAGCTTATTCTTTATTTATTATATTTACTTTGTATGAACCCTTAAAATTAATTATATAGCTGGCAATTTATTATTTCTTTGCATTCATGGAAGACTCATAAGTAAACTATGGAACTGATTAAGTGGTCACAAAGCAAGAAGGTAATCTTTTTCCCTCATGCCTATTTGACTTATAAATCAAGAAGGCAACAGGGTTAACCTTTAAACAGACTCCAAAACTCTCATCTATCTATAACAAAGTTAAAACAATGCATAATTATTTAAAGTTATTTAGTTTCCTTGAGCCCCAGAATATTCGTAGCTTGATATAGTCAACGAAAGAAAAGCAAGTCTAGTTAAGAAAAGTTGAAGTAATTTGCTATTACTATTTTAAGTTCTACAAATTATAATTTAAAAAGATGTTTTCATTGGAGGATTTTATAAGTTATCGGTTTACAACTCATTAGTAAATAATGCATAAATTTTAAAAGTTCTAATCAACAACAGAAAATATTTTTTAACTTGCCTTTTGGGAAATAAAGACAGAAAACCACCAAAATAAAGTTTTAAAATTTTAAGCGCAGTGTTATCAAAGTTTTAGGTATGTTATAAGCAGTTATTAGGCACTGTTATTATGATTTTTTCTTTCTTCCTTGCGTGGGCGTGCTTGCTTTCTGTGTACGGTCAAGTATTGATAATATTTCCAAAAGAAAAAAACTGTACGTCGGCTTTTACATACGGGTTTAATGAGGCGAATGGAGTCAACCTCAATTTTTTCGACGACGAGAATCTGCCTTCTCTTGCAATAAGAAAACTCTCCGAGGTTGAAGACCCATTTTCACTGTTGGGTATAGCCGGAAGTTTCCACTCTTCTGTTTCACAAGTGATCTACGATTTCTTACACTGGCAAGGTGTTCCTGGAATTTCTTTTTCCAATTCAGGTATTTTAGCCTTTCCTTATAACACAATTTTTTTTTAACTTTATTGGCAAATAGATATTTTTTCTTTAAAATCGCGCTTCTCAACTTTTTATAGCATTCTTCCATTAGACAACATAAGAACCGTTTATCTCGGTACAGTATAGCTTACGGATATTTTGACGGCTAATAAATCTTTGTTATTATCTTTTATAAATTATAGCTGACATACTTGAAAGGTATAAGTGGACGCGGGTTGGCATCATACACCCTAGCAGCTCTTACTTTGTCTACCGCACAATTAGTTTAATTCAAGCTTTGGTAAAAAGAAACATAACTGTTGTAAATCGTTTGGAATATTCAAATATAGACGGTTATTTTTATTAAAGAACCAAATTAAGAATATAGGTTTTAATTTTTTTTGGTTAAGGAAATTTCCCACGTTCCTTTTTTGAGAAGAAATTGATTGCTTTAAGAGATGCCCAAATTAAGATTTTTATATTGTCTTGCCCTGTGTATCCCTTTTAAATTTTTGTAATTTTCCTCAATTTGATAAATTAATTTATTTATAGACCTGACGTCCTCTCCATGCTTAGGGTTGCTCATGAATTAAATTTAGTTGGTAACGGCAATTTTTTTTGGATTCTTTACGTGGATGATTTTGAGGTGTCTGTGTTAAATAATTGGTATTCTTAATTTTTATAATATTAAGACCTTTTTATATAACACTGTATAAATTTTATAAGGGACTACTTATCAAGGGCCCCATACGCAGCCCACGGCTTGCTCACATTTTCCTACGAATGCGATAAGTCTTCCGATTATTATCAAAACCTAAAGCAAAGAGAAAAAGCAGAGCCAACTGTATTACTTCTCTAGATGTGTTGTGGATTTTGAAATCAGTTTAATTTTTGCTTTTTTTTAGTTCTGGCAATGCGCTGCTTTCGATGTGGGCTATGCTCTGGCCACTTCCATTAAAAAAAGTCTTCCTTTTTATGGATGCCTGGCTAATTCCGATAAATCTACATGCTCGGGACTCGATGATTTGCACGTAAGGTTCAGCTATGCAAGGCCGTAATAGCTGCTGACAAAAGAAATAAACTTTGAATACGAGTAGCCTCCAAACCTTCTGTTCTCTGTGCCCCAAGCAGCGCGAATATAGAAGCGCCTGCCAGTCTGTATGCACAAAGCTCCAGAAGAACTTGAAGGACGGCTATATGGTGTATTACGTCCAACTAGCGCTGGAGATCTTCATGACCAATTTTTCCGGAGCCACTGGCCACGTCTCTTTTGAGCTAGATGGAGGCCGCACCCCAAACAGTGATTATAATAGAGATTTAAGTGTTTGGAAAGTGTGATGCTACTTATAATAGACATTAAAGTCGCCATACAAAATATAAGATCCAACGGCCAAACTTATGAGTTTGTTACAGTTGGACAAGTCACGTTAGGTGCCATATAGAAATAAATCTATAAAGTATTTCCAGCAATATATTCTTATTTTCTAGGCAACAGCGAAGCTCACCAGATAAGTTGGACTGATAGAGTGGTTTTTCCAGGAGGCACTCCCGAGCGTCCAAACTACGTCTCTCCTCTGGATCGGGCGCCGGTATTACCAATTTTTTTTAGGCCTCTTTTTTTTTAACTCTTCCGTTTCCCTGCAGGTTCGGTATGGGTTCACGCTTGGGAGAGTAACGCAGGCGATCCTCATTTCTGTTGTTGTTCTCTGCGTTCTGGTGTTTCTTGCTCTTCTTTGGGGATTTTGGAACTACCGCACCAAGCTGGTGGTAAAAACCTCGTCGAAGACTATGATGTACACGATGATGGGCGGTGCGTTACTCGCTATGACGGGCAACTTCGCGCTGGTCGTCCAGCTTTCTCCCAGCAGTACTTGCATAGTAGCCCTTTCGGTGCCTTTTTTCTTTTTGCTTTTTCTTCCCGCAGGCGCTTCCTGCTTGGTCTACTCTTGGACCACCGGCTGTGGCTGGGCACTCTACTTTGGGTCATACATACTCAAAAGCTACCGAATAAAGCTTATCTTTTCAGAAGAAACAGCACAAGGCTTTTATTTTTTCGTTGAAAAGTTTTTCTTTATTCATCTCTTTTCTTTACAGGAAAACATAGCAAAAGCAAGAAAGGAAACTTCAAGTTTACTGACGAGTTCTTGTTGAAAATTTTAGGGGCCTTTACTGTGTGCTTAATTGTATACCATGCTATATGGACTGCAGTGGATCGACCAAGTTAGTAAGAAACGAGGCCGTAGGAATAACTCGCTTTAGTCAACCAATTTTTTTCACCGGAAAGGAAGGGTGGAGTTTGTCATTGCCGGGGCTGGAGGAGAGGGAGACACAGTCCAGTACGTCTGCAAGGACTCCAAGTGGTCCCTCGCGCTGATGCTGGTCGAGTTTTTGTTTGTATGCTACGGACTGCTCCTGGCGTATCAAGGTGCGCCTTCTTCCTTGCTACCTTCCCTTTTTCTACAGAAAGTGGTAAAAGTGCGTTCGATGCCTTCTTATTTCAACGAGTCGAAAATCATCGCCTTCACCATATACAACTGGATCGTGCTTTTTCTGGTGTCCGAGTTTATGCTTCTCTTTATCCGGAGGAGTATATCTCAAGAAACCGCCATCATTATTTTGGTACTGACAAACTGCTATGAGTTGGCCACATTAGTCGGTTCTTTTTTCGGAACAAAAGTTGATATTCATTAGTATTATTAATTATAATTAATTATCATTATTGTTATTATTAGGTGTACCTCGCTTTCCGCGGGAAAGGGGACAATATGTCGAAAACTCAGGGAAGAACGGGTAAAGAAACAACTAGAAGCAAAAGAAGTATCGTGAATATTTCGATAAACACGCATACTAATATGAATCTCAATACCGGTATTATTTTTATTATTAATAATTAATTGATATCCTTAGAATAAATATCACAGATTCAAGAACAAGACTAACTTAGAAAAGTTACTTTCTCTTGTTTACAAAATTTAAATTAAAAAAAACCCTCTTTCCTTCTCTTCTTATTTATGTTTATTAAGCTCTGACTCGATAAACCCAATTAATTTCATCATTACAATATAGAAGAGTTATTATCAAAAAGTTTTTTGGCATTAAGAGTTAACCTCATTTTACTAACTTTTTACGCCCAAAAAAAGTCGTTCATATCACCATTAGTTGCTAGCATATCAGAATTGCTGGTCCTAAGCGTCGTAAGTAATCTTTAAAAAATTTTTCGACCCTACAAAAATAATAATAGAATATATTGAAACATTTTTGCTTAATCTACGGTAAAGTTCTATTAAAAATGCTAAAATTTTAAATTAGTTAAGTCGAACATACCAATTTGGAAAGCTTAAGTTTCCAACTTTAATAGCCAGGCTTTACACGTATTTATATCGCACCAAAAATATAAATAGTACGTAGTGGAGCAAAGTAAAAGAGTATTTAAGCAATTTGTTTTTACTTCCAGGAGCTGTGGTAAAATTTTAGGTCATATATTTTTAGATTATATTAAAATTTTACAAATATAACTATTATACATTAATGGAAAGTACTCGCTCTGGTCACTAACCGAATTTTCGAGCTTTTAACAGAGTATAACTTACAAGCTAAACCCTTTTAATACAAAAACCGCAAAATACAATGCACATTGCCGTTGCATGGTTAGTAACAGTTCTTTTGCCAGTATGAAATTGGAGATTGGTGTTACCTGGTAAGTCGTTTGTGGGTGGTACTAACACTGCATTGGAAAAGAAAACTATAGACAAAGCTTGATCTAAAGAATCATCTAGAACAAACCACGAGGAGTCCGTCATCTCGCGTAGCACCTACTTTTAGCTCACCTGAAGCCAAGTGGTTATTGCTGGTGAGCCGTAAACTCGGGCAAACTGGTACGTCATAACTGGTGAAAAAAACACAGGGAAGCGCCCCTTGTTGCAAACGAGAGTATGCTTTATGCTCAAAGTAAAGCGTGCCCCACCGCTTTTAATTTTTCCACTACATAGTTTATGTGCGAACGCCACAAGAGCTTATTTTAGATGATGACACCCGAATCTATAGCTTGAAAGAGCACGATAATATGTAGCCTCCCGCGCGCACCAAACTTTTTTTCGTCAAACGCTCTTTTGACGTCAAGAATGATGGCTCCAGTTGCATTAAAAATGAAAGTTAAGTTTGTTAAAGGCTTGCGTAAACAAACGGGTAAAGTAACGCATATAGGCAACTTCAGCTATTTAGTCAACTAAAGAGGGAGGACTGATAAACCTCTATTTATTTAACGTAGAGGACGGTCTCGGTGTCTTTAGGGAACATCACAACAGTAGCCTTCATCCTTTATAACAAAATGGGGTTGATGAACCATCAAGCTAAATGCACTATATAAGATCCATTACCACCGACGGACTTCTGCGGTAGCATCACATTAGTCCCTTCGGGGCCGAATAACCCTCGTCTCGCTAAAGCGTTAAAATATTTTTTTGTCTGTGATGTAAGCTCAAGCTTCTTCTAGGCGTTAGCGCAAGAATTCGATCTAAGGCGCATTTCGATTGAAATCAAAGGAGCAGGTAGCATACAAAGCGGCGAGATAATAATTTAAAGTGTCGATTTTTTGACTATGATATAATCCGTACCAATAACCGAGTTAAACATAATATTGGAGCCAAGCCAAAACAAAGTGCGTTGATACAGCGGGTTCGTGCTCCATACTGTATATCGTCGGATAATATTGAGAAATCCGAAATTTTCAGCCAGTGGGCTTGCCCATAAATTAATTAAATTTAGTACTTTTTGGTTTCCTTTAATGTTAAAAAACTAGAGGTTGTTTACCCTTGTGCTTTATTACTGAAAAAGCACCAAATAAAATGTCCAAATGTTTGTTGTTTGGTTATCACCCAATGTTATGTAAAAACTGGTTAAATATACGCTTAGGTTTCTGAGGTAATAATTTTTTGTTCATTATACCCTCTAGATTCTTGTAGGGTGGTATATATGGCATTTTTATAAGGAATTTTATTATTTTTCCTTTAGATAGTGGCATGCCTTTGTTTATACGGCGAACTCTTCTATACGAGTGTTTTTACTAAAATGTTGTCAACGATTTTGATGTCATTGTAAATTAGTATTTCAGCTTTTTGTTTTGGAAAAATATCTTTAAAAAAGTTTTTGAGGACTTTACTTCGGTAATGACTTTCTCAGGGCTTTATTTTCCACTTCACACGTAGATTTGTGTATTTTGTTCTGTCTACATTTCTCTTCCATGTAATTATGTTTTTATTAATGGTGATATTACCCATAGTAGCCTTCTGTCGTAGGTATCAGCCCAGGATGAATCTGAGTAGCGAAGTATTTGACTAGGGACCGTGGGGTTGTTATCTTATTAAAGATATGAAGAGTGTCCCTTAGCGTTTACTAGGTAATTGAGCACCCATTTAGCTGCTGCTAGATGGGTATTGTCATTGTTGTGTAGCAATCTCCTAAGTTGTGAGGTGGTAAAAGATATGTCCGAGCGTGTAAGTTCTGCTCTATATGACTTAGGCTTCCTATAAGACTAGCATAATCCCTGTTTGCTTCTAAAAAAAAATCTGGAAGTTTGAGTTGAGTTATCCTTACTAATGGGGGTTTAATTTTCTTACTCGATTTTATTTCGTCGGTTTCACCTAGTTTAGTTATTAGGGACGCTTGATTAATTAGGATTCACTCAGTGGTCTCTTCATTGTCTGCGTCTAGTGTTCAATGGATACTACATCTTAGCCTTCATAAAGCTTGTGGATTATGTATAATTGGTCTCCTAATATAAAGCAATTATCTTCGTAGATTCCGGTTATTGTTTCACGTCCGATAGAGTAGAGGATGCTATTCTCGATGAGAGATTTTTTAAAACCGTATTTTATAATGTTTGTCGTGATAGCTATAAAAAAGTCTTGCTGAAATTTTTAGGTCATAGCTTGCAACGTTAACCTTAGCCACACAATTTTCTTTCTTCCGGTAGTTTCTTAAGTAGGTAGCCTTGGTTATGAGTCTAACATATCCTTAAATAGAGACATGCCTTGGGCTGATAATAATTAAAAAACATAGAGATGCGTTTTTGTACTATGCTCACAGAGAATATAAATTTAATTTTTTTTTTTAATAAATTTAACACAGTATTTTGTTTCACTTATTCTTTTCTTTTTTTATTTTGTTTATATTGTATTCTTTCATTATTATTTTATACTATTACATATACTTATGTTTCATCTATCTTTTCGCTTTATATTGTTTCGTTATCGGCACCATGAAGCATTAATCTTTAAGTTAAACTAAAATTAAGGAAAGGCTTGCTATTAAAAAACTTTGACAACTCTTAATTTGTGATGTCACAACCTATGCTTTCGAAAAATTAATTATAAGAAGAGGAGATATTATCTTTAAAAATAATTAAACATCTTGCTCTAGGTCTCACATTATTTATCTAAGTCTATAACATTACACAAATAAAAAGATTATTTCGATATAAATCATCCGGGTGCAGTACAGATTATTCACACAAACTGAAAGACTGCAAGCTAAAACTTGGACAACTTTCTATTATACTTCGAGAAAATCATTAACAAAAGTAGCAGCAATACACTTATAAATTACAATTTTTCAGCCATTCCACTCTACAGCAATGTTCAGAGAAATATATATTATCTACCCTACCCAGATTGGTGGACAATATAAAACACTTGTGTAAAACACGTTCTGTCATTGCCTAACAACACTTTTTATAACTAAAAGATGACCTCAACATCCACTTAGCAGATAGATTTGTGATGGATGTCAAAACAGTAATTAATAAACCTTTCTTTTTAAAAAGAATACATGTGTAAGATGACTACATAAAATGCAAACTGACGTCCCACCTTTCTCTAGCTGATGAGACCAAGTAGAACCATCAAGAATTAAAACAACCATATTGTTTAAGATGTGGGATGGAGAAAACATCACTCTTCAATTTTTGGCTAAAGCATGCTTTAAAAGAATTTATAACATACATAAAGGCTCCATTGATCTTCTACATTCCTCTTTAAGGAGCAGTAACAATCAGGAGTCTCCTATACTATTTTATTCTGCAGCTTGCCTGCATGTTATCTTAGACCCGAAAAACAGGTTATCAAGTTTTTTTAATTGTATAGGCGAGGGTTTATACCTCGCGGGCTAAGCTACACACATATATATATGAAGTAGCCTGAGCACGACGTCCCTTTTTTGCTTTTGCGCGGGGGAGGAAGGAGGGGGTCGTTTGTTGTTTAATAAAATGGGCTCCTCTCTTCCGGAAGCCGGCTTAAGGACAAATGCTTATTTATTAGCTACTATTGAGAGCTTCGTAAAAAATTGAAGGCTGTGAATTTGAAGTTACAAGATTTCGAAAAAACGTCTCCTATTAAAAACTACACTAAACGACGAAAAGAGCCTGTAGAAAATTCCTCTATTATAAGTAGTAATGCCAATTCTTACTCTGTTCTCCAAGTACTTAACGGGCCTGGGAAAGAGGAATTCTTAGAGGAGAGCGAAGGAAATGCTTTTACGATAAAAGGTATTAAAAAGAATTTTAACGATAATAATATTACTAATAGTAATAATGTTACTAAAGAAAACAAGTAAATAGTAGTAGTAATAAATTTAGTAATTATACTTTTGCGACTGTATTAGCCTAAATAGTAAAATTATTAGTAATATCACCAAAAACTCTACTTTAAATAATAGTAACAAGACACAAATATGACTCATAGAGTACACTAAGATATAGAGTTAGAGATGGACAATACCCCCCCATTGCCCGGGTTACCTTCAGTGACCCCTGCCACCTCACGCAGTTGTACTTCTTAGGTAAAGTAATATTCCGCTTGTGGCCCCTTTGCGAAAAACAAAATTGGATTCACTTCGTAAAATTTCTGATAGCCAACGGCGCCAACAACACTCCGAAGTCTAGAGATACCCGTCAAGGAATTAAAATATTTTTAGCAACTGCAGGCGAGTACTGA